CCCCAAAACCCCAAAACCCCAAAACCCCAAAACCCCAGAAAGTTAAAATAAAATAGAAATTTAAAGAAAATGATGAAGAAAATAGACCAGGCTGAGCTGAACCAGCTCCCTTGTCCACCAAAGTAAGGAAGGGTCTAGTAGGGCAGCGGGCGAGGTGTTTTGGCAGGATGGGGTAGTGAGTGGAGATATTAGGAATAGGAGGTGAAGGGGAGGGATGTACTTGGGGTTCTCGAGTTTAGTGGGGTAGTTATTGGGCCTGTGGGGTCTAGGGTGTCCTGGAGGTGGATGATGAGCATTATGACTCTGCTTGATGGTTTTATAGATTGGCTTTGCAGACAGGGAAGCATGTGCAAATTCTGAAATCATGAAATAAGAAGGTAAGTCATTATTCTGGTATGTGTTAAGGCTGGATTTTGAGTAGATTTTGAAAGAGATTAAGAAAGAGTGAATTATAAGTGGGATTGAATGATTTTGTGAGATTTTATGAGAAAATCGTAGATTTTGATATTCTCGGTTGGGAAGGATGGTGATATTTTACCAGATAAAGGCTTATAGATGAAATTTGGTTATAGAGATTTAGAAGGGTAATAATGGCTACAAAATTCATTAAAATATCATAATAACCCAAATCCCTCGTCGTAAAATTATCCTATACCTTTAAACTTTTCTACTCCACCTATCTTATTTAAATTATTCAGCTATCTTCTGAGACTAGACCAAGGCCAACCCTACTCTAAGTCCTAAAATTGGAACTCTCAAGTGCAAAAGGAGTAACTTGGTTTTTAAATAATGTAGAGAAACCTAAAGGAAAGAAACAAACTAATAAGAAGCATAATGAAGATTTTAGTCAGGAAATAGTTAAAAGACAAGCAATCAGTCCAACAGGAACAGAAAAGAATGCGTAAGATTGATTAAGTTAAAATGTTGAGGGCATTTTTGGAGTTAAAGGAAATTATATTGTATTAGGCTCTTAAACTCGAAATCATTAGCCAGGAGAAAGTAATTTATGAGGTTAACTCTAGTCCTCGTTTATTTTCAGCAAAACCTTATCGAAGGAATGATCAACTGAAAGCAAGCCATCATGCTACAAATTCAAAACTAAGCATGTTAGGAATGAACAACACAATAGACTATTTCCATATGATAAAAGAAGGTATTTCTAAAATCTCCTTAAAAATAACAAAAACTAGTAAACTCCAACGAAAGCACCCAAGCAGAACTTTACCAAACATCCAAACCCGCCAAACGTCACCTCCAAAGACCTAATCTCACCAAACACTCCACTCTCTCAAGCAAGGGCTCCTCCGTACCTCCCCTCCTCACCCCATAGACCATGCGTAAATCAGACCTTCACTCTGCTCTAAAATCCCCGGCTCTAAATCAGCCTCTTCACGAATCCAAAAACTCCTTCGATTTTAAAGCTCACAAGACCATTGACACCTCTAAGGCAAGGATTTCTTCCTAATCTTCAGACGAGGCAACGGCGGATCAACCTAGCTGTAACAGAGAGCATCCCTGAGAACATAGGCTCCTTCCATTCTCCGTGCAACAGCACGGAGAATGGAAGGTCCAGAGTTCACCCAGTGTCGCCTCTAGCTAGTTCACACGGTATTGCTAACCTTTGAAATGTAGATTTTTATGAGAGAAATGGGCCTGAAAGCAAATCCTGAGAGCTATCTGGGCGATACGGAAAGTTTCACCAACAGTTTTTGTATAAATAATGTATCTTTGCTGGAGAAAGCTGTCCCGAATAGTAACAAAAACCGAAGAAAATTGAAAAGTCTTCATAATTCATTGAAGAATTTGAATTTTGAACTTGATTTGACCTTTGATCTGTTGAAGAATTTTGAGTCTGCAGTGTAAGTTTAGAGATTCTTGGGCTAAAAAGTAGAGAGGGCATAATGTAAGCTGACTTATCAGTACCGTAGTTAAGATAAATCTAACTTACCACTAAGGCAGCTTATTTCAAAACTCATATCTCTAAATTTACTTATAGCAACAATCCAAATAATTCCCAAAATTCGTTCTTCAGCATTCTGAAAGAAGGTAAAACTTAAGATCATTTCCAGAGAACTTATCAAAGGAACAAGCACTTAAAGGAATCAAAGCGATGTGAGACTTATTAAGAGGTAGGAAATAAACAAGTCTGATTAGCATCTTATCTGAGTATATTGGCATTCATCAGTTATTATCTTCGAATTTTACTATTAGGTTTATAAATCTATAATTTTATAAAAATTATCAAATTATTAAAAAAACAGATAGTTTCAGGAAACAAGCCTAGCCATGATCAATCTTCTTTGTTGTTTTCGCAAAATTAAAAATTGGAAATAATGGGTCAAATATTTGAATCAAAGTCTGACCATTATTATAGTAGAACTATTGGAGGAGAAAGGAGAGCAAAGTAATTCCTTATGTCTAACAATAGACTTTGGAGCCCTCTTTGAGGATTTAAAATAACTACTCAAAAGCAGTCAGATTTATCATTAAATTTCTCCTTGAAGATTACAATGATGGAAGGAAAACTGATTGAGAGTGCCTAGGTCATCCTGAAACTACAGTTCTCAGTTACTGAATAGATATTCTTTGGAAATGAAACATCCTCGTACTACCTTCCTAATATTTAGAGTATTCACTCAAGAATAAAGCACATCCTGCTCGCTGATACTCAATCCAACGGTACTATCCATTTAACCAATTAGAGGGCTTAGTTATGAAGCTGCGCAAGGTAATAGAAGACCTCAAATTCGAGAAAGAACAACTAACCAAGAACCTCAAGAGCACTGAAAAGGATTACTGTTCCAAAATAATTGAACTAGAGCGTTCCATAAAACGGTAAGTCCTTTATCACAATCTATGTAGACTCTCCAAAGAGAAAGAAGAGCTCCATAATATAGTAAAAGACAGGGATTTCCAACTTCAATCTATCAAAAACAGTACTTCCCATATAACCTTTAGTTGAAAAATAATGGAGACAAGCACCTCTCCATCATTGAGAATAGGCTACATCAGATGGACTTCAATCTGATTGAGGCTACTAGGGAGAAAGATAGCCAGATGACTGAGATCAACAAGTTCATGAGGTAAGTTTATGCTTATAGGCTTAGAGAAATGAACACTTATTTTGCATCAATCACACAGAATGATAATGTAAAGAAGATTAAGCTTAAGCAGAAGAGGACCAAACTTCCTACTAAAAATATTGATATCCTTTCTGAAAGCGATGATCAGTTTATTAATTCTAAGACAAATAATTTCTTGTATGGAACTATGAAAAGGCAAGCAAGTTTGAAGTCAATCAGTGAGTTCAGTGACTCCAATTCCAATTCTCGGTCTATAAAACCTACGTCTACTGCAACACCTCAGGCTGATTCTGAAAGCCTTGATATAGCTACATTAATAGAACAAAAACTAAAATCTATGATGAACAAAAGTGGGGAAAAGAGTGGGAAAGATGAATTATTAAACCAAAATTCTCTAAAATTCATTTCCCTTATCCAGAACCAATGAAAAGACCAACTCCAGCCTAGTAAAGACACTTCAATATCTCAAAATTCATTTTTCCTTTTACCCAACCCTTCTTCACCCTAACGCTTCTCTCAAGATAGTCCTCAAGCCTCACCCTCCAAATCCCCTGCCAATTCCTCAACATTCTCTCGTGAAGAAGTTATCTCCTTTTCTGACAAAACCTGCCAGACGACTCTCTCAATTCCCTGTACTGCCAACTCTCATTTCTAGGTTCTTCAGGAGGGAACTCCCAAAACAAAACGAACAAATCCTTACTTCTCAAGTACATTACATGCACTAAGAACACTAAGATTAAGAACGTGGACATCCCTGGTGGTGAAGACATGGAGAAGATCCTCAAGCTGATCCATAAATATACGAAGAATAAGAAACGTCTCAGGAACAAAAGCGAGAGCTTCACTGCGATGACAGAGTCTAATATATACAAACTGTTAGAGCTAATTTTTACAGAGAAGATTATCCTTGATTACGAGAATTCTAAAGGCCATACAAATGTGGCATTTTCAGACTTTGTTGTAGACCATCTGATCATGAAGTTCGGACTGAAGACTATTGCTGTTAAGAACTTGATTTCGCTCAGAATCGGCCTTCAGGATATTGTCAAAAGTTCGTTAAGAGAATACCGGGCGAAGAAGGTAAGCAGGTGTTTGGAATTTTTAGAAATAGATCAGGTCTCAATTCGAACTCTAAGCTTGCAAAGTAAGTCTGATCGATAACTTGTAGCAAAATTGATGATATGAAATTTCCATATGCGTCTTATATTATAAACTTGCTTAAAATTGACCAGCCTCATGAGATTATTATTTCTACACATTATCCACCAGATATCGAGAATTTGATAATTAGATCAAGAATCATATTTGAGGAGGCTCATAAATAAGTATAAATTGAGTGCAATGAATAAGAAGATAGTAGTACCAGATCAACCTCCAAATTTAATCCACGGAGGTGAATGAAATGTACTCGAACTCATCCACATCGTAACTCAATGCATCGGGAAAGATGAAGAACTATGAGAAGAGTTTATCCCAAAATTACTTCCAAACAATATTCCAAATTTTGATTCCAAAGAAGAAGAGAATGCTTTCATGCTAAACTTCGCTCAATCCAAAATCTGCTTCAGTATTGCTAAGCTCGGCAAAAATGTCCAGTACATGTTCGAGACTCTTGATGAAGATGGGAATGGAATTCTAGACTCTGGAGAGATAATCAATGGTCTCAGAGACAAGTTTAACGTTTATTTCTCCTTTAAAGAAGCCACAAATTTTATTGAGTACATGGACTCTGATAAAAGTGGTGATATAGACTTTGACGAGTTTAGTGCAAAAATTAACTACAAGAGCTACAATAAAAATTATGCCAGGTACATGATCACCAAGGCTAGATTCATTACAATCGTACTTGAACAATGGGAGAGTCACAAGAATAGAATTTACGATAGATTAATTCAAGTCTTCGAAAAATTTGATGAAAATTCAGATGGAGTTCTCACATTCGATGAGTTTGAAGTTTTAATCAACAACATTGGCTTCTCACCCAATCACCAAGATGATGGGAAGATTAGTCCACAGAAAATAATTAACCTCTTTAACGAAGTAAGTCATTCCAGCAATTTATAGACCCTTGATTCAATGGAAGAGGAAGGAATGGCAAATGATGATATGGATTATATGAGCCCTGAAGCTTTCTGAGCAATGGCCTTCAAGTACAAACTCGGAGGCTACGGCAGGGACTTCTTTGAAGCCTATATCACCCAGTTTCTTGATGAGAAGAAGACCGCATCTATTGAAGACAAAAGATTGGCAAGGTACCAAAGTGTGTTGAAGAAGACCCTAATAAACACCATTGGAAAATAAAAATTCTATTTCATTGAACCACTATGGGGTTTTGGGGTTTTGGGGTTTTGGGGTTTTGGGGTTTTGGGGTTTTGGGG